AGGATGGAAGGCTGAGTCAACCTTGAGCCGGTGAGATTTGAACAGCCGAACTGCAGCTAGCAGTCAGCTGAAGTGGCCTGCAGTACTGCACCCTACCCACTGCGCCACCTCGGCTCTGTATTTATAAAGCAGCTAAAGCAGCTTTATCGGCCGTGATCCCTGTGCAAAATCTCAGCTGGTCTTCGACCGTGAGAAAGATCTGACGGGGCTGCTTTGGGGCGGCTGGTTTTGCCCCTCTGGAGAAAGAGCTCGAAACCCAGAGGCCACCCAGGCTTCGACTTACTTCTTGGACTTTCTGGAGGAGAGCGACGATGTTCGTCCTCAGTTTCTGAAGCTTCTCGTTGGCCTCTCTGACCTTCTGCTCCAGGACGTGGACTTTCTCCTCGCAGGCTTGGATTTGACTACTTGCCCGGGTCTGATAGGAGTTGCACAGGTTTTGCAAACCCACCTCGTATTGTTTAAAGTACTCCTTCTGTGGAAAGGAGAAATGGAGGGGAACGTCCCAAAGGTTACAAGGAAAGAAGGCGAAAGAACTTCCATTCGCTCGGAGCAAGAAGAGAAAGACACTAAATTACTGGACTTCCAATCAAAACAGCCCTAAATTTATTTATTTATATATATAGAACCTATATGCCACCTATAGAACATTTTATAAAGGTACAAGCCCCCCCCCCCCCAACAGCCCTAATTCTTACTGCATAATGTTAAGGTTAAGATTATGTGGCGTTTTGGGAAGAGGGGTGTATATAATTTAATTACCTTCTATAAATAACCAATGGATTTTAATGCAGGGGCTCAAATTCTAACCTCCTTTTTGCTATTCTGCTCTTGTTTTAGGAACCTATTTCACAAATATTAAAGGGGATGGCAATAGATGAGATACCAAACTTCTGATTCCAAAAATCTACATCTCAATTTTAAAAAAAAACCTCAAGAATATACCTGGTGAAGTAGCAATAGCAATAGCAGTTAGACTTATATACCGCTTCATAGGGCTTTCAGCCCTCTCTAAGCGGTTTACAGAGTCAGCATATCGCCCCCAACAATCCAGGATGGAAAGCTGAGTCAACCTTGAGCCGGTAAGATTTGAACCGCCGAACTGCAGATCCCAGTCAGCTGAAGTGGCCTGCAGTACTGCACCCTAACCACTGCGCCACCTTGGCTCTCCAGTAATATGGGATGAGAATTGATCACCTGAACAGAGGACTCACCAAAGGGAATGCCACCAACTCCTGTGAGCTCATGGAAGTCAAATCCTTCTTGGAGATGGGGAAATTGGGGGGCAAGAAATAACGCAAGCAATTCCTACGGAAGCAAAGAGAAGGCAGGCATAAAGAAGACAGAAAGGCTCTCCTCGCACCTATGGGCTAGTCGTTCCCGACTCTAGAGGGCGGTGCTCATCTCCATTTCAGACCCGAAGAGCCAGCGCTGACCGAGGACGTCTCCGTGGTCATGTGGCCGGCATGACTCAATGCCGAAGGC